CCTTGTTGTCTCGGATTCTCCAGCATCTGCAGTTCCTACTATCTCTGGGAATAGATACTTGCAGGTAAATGTTTCTTAGAACAGTGCATTCAGTAGGAAATATGGAAAGTACAGGATCGACATGTTCCAATAAAGAAAAAAGGTGGGATCATCAAACCCTGTGAACACTGGATATCAAGGGATACACAGCATTGGATTAAGAGAAAAAGGGAGGCTTATAGCTCAAAAGAGCAGAAGCCCTTGAGGAGTATAGAAAGTGCAAACGGGAACTTAAAAGGGAGATTAAGAAAGCTAAGAGGGGATACAAAAGGGTATTGGCAGGTAAAATAAAGGACCATTTTATGTTGTTTCACAGGTAAGTTAAGGGTATGAGAGTAACAAGCAAAAGAGTAAGACCCATTAAAGTCTACGGTGGTAATTTTTGCATGGAACCAGGTAATGTAGATTGAGTTCTAAATGAATGTGCTGTGTCAGTGTTCAGTAATGAGAGGGACAATGAGAGTGGGAATGGAAAACAGGGAGATTTGTGTTACAATTAAAGAACTTAGCATAGAAAGAGAGGAGGTTTTGAGTGTCTTACAGGCTTAAGAGTGGATAAATCTCCAGGGCTAGATAAAATGTATTCTAAGTTGTTGAGTGGGGTAAGGGAGTAAATAACAGAGGTGCTTTCAAAAATTTTCAATTCCTCTCTGGCCACAGGAGAATTGCTGGAGGACAGCCAACATGTATTGTTATTCAAAAAGGGAGCAAGGGATAAACCAGAGAACTGCAGGCTAACCAGTCTAACCTTGGTGGTAGGGAAACTATGGAAACAATTCTGAGGGACAAAGTTAATCTGCATTTGGAGAGACAGGGATTAATTAAGAGCAGTCAGCATTGTTTTGTTAAGGGGAGGTTATGTCTAAGCAACTTGAGTAAATTTTTCAAAGAGGTGACCAGGTGTGTAGATGAGGGCATTTTGATGTAGTCTACTTGAGTTAGGCAAGGTTTTCGATAAGATCCAACAAAGGAGTCTGAACGCAAAGATAAGAGCCCACGGGATGCAAAGAATTTTGGCAAATTGGAGTGAGTGGCAGGAAGCAGAGGCTTATAGTTGATGGGTGATTGTCTGACTGGAAGCCTCTATCCAATGGGGTCCCACGGGGGCTCAGTGTTTGTGGCGTATATAAATGATTTTGTCTTGAATATAGGAGAGTTGATTAATAAGTTCACCGATGATACAAAAATTGGGGTGGTAAATAGTGAGAAAGGTAGCCTGAGACGACAGGAGGATATAGACGGGCTGATCAATGACAAATGGAATTCAATCCAAAAGTGTGAAAGACTTGGGGCAGGACAAACAAGGCAAGGGATAACATGATTAATGGTAAGACCCTGGGAAGCACTGAGAATCAGAAAAACCTTGTTGTGCACGTACACTAATCTCTTAAGATATGAGGGCTGGTGGATAAATGGTTAAGAAAGCATATAGCATACCTGCCTTTATTAGCATAGACTTTAAGAGCAGGGAGGTTTTGCTGGAATGATATAAAATGTTGGTTAGGCCACAGCTATAGTATTGTGTGCAGTTTGGATTCCACATTATCGTCAGGTTATGACAGTACTGGAGAGGGTGCAGAGGAGATTTACCAGGATTTTGCTTGGGCTGGAGAGTTTCAATTCTGAAGGGAGATTGGACAAACTGGAGTTGTTTTTCTTAGAGCAGATGAGATTGAGAGGAGATATGGTTGAGATGTATTATGAGGGGCATGGAAGGCAGAAAGATACCTTTCCCTTGATAGAGGGATCGATAACCGGGGGGGCACAGATTTAAGGCAAGGTGCAGAATGTTTAGAGAAAATGTAAAAAAAAATTCACCCACAGGGTGGTGAAAATCTGGAGCTTACTCTCTGTAAGTGTGGTAGAGGCAGAAACCCTCATAACAATGCCAAGGCAAATGAGGACCAAGTGCTTGAAAATGAGATTAGAATAGTTAGGTGGTTGTTTTTGACTGTCGCAGATCCGATGGACCAAAGGGCCTTTCTCTATACAGCCAGATAGGAGAAAAATAAAATTGAATTATCAAAGAACAGAGAGACAGGTGAGGTTGCTGTGACATTGGAAGAAAAGTTTGGAAATTATGTAACTGTACTTAAAGAAAAGTATTGAATAAACTTATCAACTTCAAAGACAATAAACCCCTATCATTGACAAATCCAAGTATATGACAACAATATATTTATAAAGCATCCATAATGTTATGTAAAACCCCAAGATGCTTCACAGGGGCATTGACACCAAGAGACAAAGGAAATATTCTGTCAGGTGATCAAAAGCTTCGTCAATGAGGTTGGTCTCGATTTTGTACAGAAGTTGGGCATCCATTCCCACAGGCAGTTATATTTAGCCAGGTTGCCTTGTTTTAATTTATTAGGCAACAGCTGTTTAATTAGTGTGAACTAGGACACCAGGAGCACTCATACAACACGCACCTCATAGAATTGCCAGTCATTCAGCAGCCAGCATTGCTGCACCAGTGTCAAGGAGATTGGCCAAGAAGGTGACGATTCAGGTGAATCCAAGATCTCACTGAGTCTAAGCTGACTGGAAATAATATTGCCATTCCTGCACTGTCAATGGGTCAATATTGTAGAACTCACTCCCTAACAGCACTGTGGGCCTCTCAACTTAATATGGACTGCAGCAGTTCAAGAAGGCAGCTCACCGTCACCTTCACAAGGGTAATTAGGGATGGACAATAAATCCATTTTATGATATACCCATAATAAGAAGCCCACATCCCAGGAAGCAGAAACCTATCCTTTTATTGACCAGCAGTCCAATCAAGTTAAACCTGCCAGTTAACATATTTGGCACTGGCCTTTCCCATGCCTGTTGAACTAGGATAGTGCATGTGGAAGCCCTGTTACTTGACAGCGAGTACGCTGCCAAAGGCACAGCACCCTTATTAAGGAGGAAAACCAAATAGAAAGATAGAGAGAAATGATATAGGAATCAGAACTCAGGGCCTGGACAACTGAAGACACAGTCACCAATGGTGGAGTCTTTATGATTGGGAATATACAAGGGGCCAGAATGAAAGGGGTGCAGATATCCTGGAGAGTTGTAATGTTGGAGGAGATGATAGCACAAGAGAGGGCAGGGCGAAGAGTATTTTAAAATCAAGATATTGCTTGAGTGGAAGTCAATATGGATGACACAGGATTAGGACTTGCTGTGTGTTATGACACAGGCAACTGAGTTTCAGATGTTTTAATTTTATTTCAAGTACAATGTGGCAGACTAGCTAGGGCTGAATAGTTGAGTCGAAAAGTAACATAGACAGAAATTAATTTTTCAGTGGCAGATGAGCTGAGACAGGGTGAAGTTGGGCAATAATGCAGAGGTGAAAAAGGGCAGAATTAGAAATGTCATGAATGAGTCAAATGTGACACCAATGTTGTGCACATACTGGTTTCCTCTCAAGCTGTTTCCAGGGCAACGAATGGATTGATAGTTAGGGAACAAAGTTTGGTGCAGAAATTTCTGCTCATTCAATACTAGATGTCAGACAAGAAGTCTAATAATTTAAAAACAGTGGACGAGTCAAGAGGTAGTGATGAGGTAGAACTGGATGTCATCAACTTATCTGTGAAAACCGATGGCATGCTTTCAATTATTTCATCAAGAGTTGGCAGGTTGCTGAGAATTAAAAGGGGAGGCCAAGGATTGATTTTCAGGGGAGTGCCAGAAGTATTGGTGCAGGCAAAGGAAGAGAAATCATTTCAAATGATTCTTTGGCCACAAGTACATAGGTAAGAATGGAACCAATCACTCTTAACAAATTAAAGTACAATCCATTCCTGAGAACGCCCGCAAAAGATGAAATTTGTGAGTGCGAAGCTCATTTAAAAGTAAGTTAAAAATCATAGATGCATAACTTTTACCTGTGGATGTTGATTTTTGTTGTTAATTATAGAAATTTGGTAAATTTACATATTCATGATCTCACAGATACTGTATATTGAAATATTTAGGTGTACACGTGTTGCCAAGACATGCAATGCTATGGGGCAAGTGCTGGAAAATGGGATTAGAATAGTTAGGTAATTGTTTTGGCTAGCACAGACTCGATGGGCCAAAGGACCTTTATCTGAACTTGCAGTCCTCAATGACTTTATGACATAATGGACAAATGAACAATATCAGAGTTCCAATATTAGGGAATGAGTAACAGAATGGATAGCTAGAATGGATTGCTTGAAGATAGAAAGCAGAATATAAGTGAAAGATGTGTGTGAAAGAGTGTCAAAATGTGAAAAGTTCCTAAAAGGATCAAAGTTGGAACTGCCATCAGTCCCAATTTTGAGAAATGATTTGGGAATGAGAAACATATTTTCTAAAATTTTATATGACAACAAATTTGGTGGGATAGTCACTATGGAGGAGAACAGCAAAAAATACATGAACACATTAATAAACTTGCAGGATGGGCATATAATTGACAACTGAATTTCGTGGCAGGTAAATCTGATATATTAAATTTTGTGAAAAATCAAGATTACATTTTACTTGGAAAATAAAGAGTAGTGGAGAAACAAAACCTGAATATAAATACAAGAATCACTAGAAGTAGCAACACGGATTAATAAGGCCATAAAGTATGAAACAAAGCTTTAGTGTTTATTTTCAGAGGGACAGCACTGAAAAGCAGGAAAGTTACTCCAATCTAGTATCAGACCTGACATAATCCATTGATAAAGAATTGTGTATCGTTATGGTTGCCATATTATGAAAAAGAGACAGAGGATTGAGGTAGGTACAAAAGGATTTATAAGTATAATAACAGGAAAGGATAAACAATCTAGGACACTTGCTTGTTGAAAAGAGGGATGATCGAATAGGGGTTTTTGAGATAATGGAATATCTTGAAAGAGTAAACACAGGGGGAATGTTCTCAATGGTGAGAAGGATTAGAACAAGATGTTATTATTGTAAGTTACTAACCATGAAATCAAATAGGGAATTGCAGGACCGTACCTCCCTGCCAGGGAGAAAGACCCAGGAGGCAGGCAGAATTCAGGCAAGTGGAAGATGTTTATTCAAGCAGAAACCGGTTAATGCAGGGAGGGAGCCAAAAGATCTTCCCCAAATCTGGCCTCGACTTGAGAAACCAATTTTTCCCTTAATCTTTGGCTCAGGTCTGAAGAGAGATCAATGACACACACTGATTTTTACGGTGAAAATACAACATTTTATACATTTTCTGTTACAGTAATCAAATACAGCATAGCCACTGTCCTTCTCTCTTAATCCATACACCCAATCCCATGGGATTCCTAATCAATGATGGGCATTCCTATGCACAGCCCCAGGTTCCCATGGTCTTACGGTGTTTACCATACATTGTAATCGCTAGGCCTTAGGATCTTTCTATGCATCCTATTCATTTGCATTCCAAAGCTATTGGCTAAATTCCTTCGGATCTGTCTCAGGCTGCTTAACTCTAAGGACAGTGTGGATTCTATTATTCATTGTACTACTTGTGTTTTCTTATATCAAATTCAGCCATTCCTCTTGTATTTCCCACTGTCCTAATTATATATTTAAAAATACAAAAGGCAGTTAATTTTAACTAATTGCTATTAGGTTAATTTCTATTATAAAGTTAGTTACAAATTGTAAAGTTGTACAGCTACTTCTGCTGTTAGCACTTTGTAATTAATGGGTTGTGAACAATCTATCTTGCTCAGAGCACAAGATAAGGTGTTTCCTAAGACTAATTAACTTTCACATTTAGGTTTAAATGTTTTTCTCCTCATGCTTGTATTATACTTAGGTTATATGTTAAAACTACTTCTGTGATTATGGAATTTTTAATTAAAGTCTATTTAATATAGTAGGTACTTTCAAAGAAGCAAATATTTACTACAAAGTAACTTTAGCCGTTGTCTTTGCAGCTGCTTACGGAGTTAATCTTGGCTGGTTCATGGGCTGAGACCTATGCCTGTTATTATTCATTTACTGGGACAATCATCCTTTAACTAATGAGGCTGGAATTAATCCCTTATCTGTTCTTAGGCATTCTCCTATCAAAACTGTCTCAGATAGTTGGCGGTGAGGCCCTTTAGCTGACCTTGGAGTAGTCTTGTTCAAAGCTACCATTGTGCTTCACTTAAATGTTAGAGTAGGCTGTCCCATTTTGTTTTAATCCTGGTTGGCCATTTTGTGTCTTTCAAACATGGGCCACTTTGGTGTAAAGCAGGTACAGGTCACTTTGTATGGACAGATACAAGTCACCCCTACAGGAATTCAGAATAATTTCTTCCCCCAAAGAACGGTGAAAATGTGAAACTCTCTACCATAGCGGTTAGTTCAGGCAGATGGTATAGATGCATTTAAGAGAGGGCATGAGAAATGGAGGAGAGGGCCAATAGAGTTAGAAAAGATGGAAGTGGACTCGAGTCAAACATAAACACCTGCTGGTTGAACAGTCTGTATAATGTAATTAATTTTTATACAATAATTTCTATAATGGCCTTTTTATTAATATGATTGGAATCAGGCTGTTATTTTTTTAAGAAAGGGATGTAAATAAATAAGAGAAAATAAAGTGTAGGGAAGGAAGTAATGGATTACTCTTTCAAAGAATTTGTATAGACACATTGGATCAAATAGGTTCAATGCAGGGACTGTTATTTTTATAAATTCTTCATGTTAATAGTTTAAAGCATTGTTCTCTATATTTTGTCTAGGTTGTTCCAAGATAACCTGCATTAGTCTGACAAGGGAAGCTTCCATCAAACTCTCTCCACTTCACGGGAAACAAATCTCCATACGCTACCTGAATATGACAGATTGCTTTGTACTTGAAGACGAAGGGTTGCATACGATAGCAGCTCACTGCACCCAACTGACCCACCTTTACCTGCGTAGGTGTGTACGTGTCACAGACGAGGGCCTCCGCTACCTGATGCTTTATTGCACAACAATCAAAGAACTAAGTGTCAGTGACTGCCGTGCTGTGAGTGATTTTGGAATGAGAGAGGTGGCAAAATTGGAAGCACATCTGAAGTATCTCAGCATTGCTCACTGTGGCCGGATCACAGACGTGGGTATCCGTTACATTGCCAAGTATTGCAGTAAACTGCGTTATCTGAACGCTCGGGGTTGTGAAGGAATAACTGACCATGGAATTGAGTACCTTGCCAAAAATTGCACAAAACTGAAGTCCCTGGATATTGGGAAGTGTCCATTAGTTTCCGATGCAGGCATGGAGTTTTTAGCGTTAAACTGTTACAACCTGAAGCGGCTGAGTCTTAAGTCCTGCGAAAGCATCACTGGCCGCGGTTTAAAGATTGTCGCCGCTAACTGCTTCGAGCTTCAGATGTTGAACGTACAGGACTGTGACATCTCTGTTGAGGCACTGCGATTTGTCAAACGCCATTGCAAAAAATGCATTATAGAACACACCAATCCGTCCTTCTTCTGACAAAACGTTCAACAACGAATTAGAACAGACCATCGATTGTAAAAACAGATTTTATCTCCTTTTCCTTCTCCTCAATTCAAATATTTAGTTCACTTCCACAATGTAAAATTATTACCCTGCTATGACAGAAAGTCATGGTAATGAATTTTTTTTTTCTTTTCTCTCCTGTATTTTTGAATGCCAGATCAACAAAATAGGTATCCAAAGGCATAAACTAAATACATTCAAACTTTTTAAGTTGCTGGAATAATTTATCAGTTGTGATATTATTACTTAAATCAGCCGCTGGGAATGAAAATGGAAAAATTCAGCACAACACTTGCCTCCTTCTTTTCAATTTTCTTAAAATGGAGCACTATGTTTTACTTGACAGCCCATCATAATATTAGATCCTGATGGGGAGGGATACCGTCACTTTGATTGTTATAACATGAAGATTCTAAATAACATTGCATTTCCATGTTTTTATTTCATTTAATTAATAAAAAAGTGTAATAATCCTAACTAAAAAGTAATGCACTTATTGTTCTGGTATCTTCACAATCAGCTAAACTTAACCACATGTTGTGCTGTTGGGTGAGGGACAAAAGGCCAATGCAATGGATGCTGCCCTTTCACCTCACTCAGACCTGGGTTTAAATGCAGTCTTGTCTGATAGGTGTAAATCTCTCTGGAATTTATTGAAATGAATTCCAACCCATCAGCAAGTTGGCCTTGACCCAGCATGAAAATAGCTTATTCAGCAATAGATTTGGCATTTTTGCTCAGAGACTATATGGAAAGCTGGCATGGGAAAGGTCCAGTTAAGGATGCTTTTCTGAGGTTGGACTGATGTACATTAATGTACAATAAAATTAGCTTTACTCTGCAGCTCCTTGAACTTTATCAAAACTGAAGGTATTTGATGCTGACATTAGAATGACAGTCTTCAACCTTTTGTGCTTCTCGTAGGGCTTCATTCTTTGGCAGTGAAAAGTTGGCAATTACCCCAAGATACCTGATTGAAAGTCAGTACTATCATTCATTTCCCTGATAGGATTAAGAATGCACTTAAATAATGTTGTACATAACTCCAAGCTATCGTAATAGTGCATCCAGTCTAGAATAATTAGGGAAGTTAACAAAGGAAATTTTGTATCAGTCAAATAATGTCTGAAAATGTTTGCTGCCTGCTTGTAGCAAATAACCTGGAGGATGTGCAGAGGGAAGAAATCTCTTTTTCTGTAACTTCAAAAAGCTTTTGAACATTGAAGCCAGGAAGCTTCTTTATCATGGGAAATGAGAACAAGTCATGTCAGACTTGCACTTATTATGTAAAAAAAAATTTGCAAACAAACTTTGCCAAAAGTTTTGTGATCAGGACAATCTTTAATTGGCCAGTTATGTTGGCAAGCAAAATGTGGAAGCTTTGTCCTTCTTGATTCTGGTCAAATCAGGTGGGATTACAAATCAAGAATGATGAAAATTTCAAGTGGTGTGGCCCATTGGCTCCTGACTACTTTAATTAGGACACGCAACGTCTCACTCCTGCTATGACTGATTCTGAAATCTCATTTTCCACATATGTCAGTGGGGTGATTTTGGAGACAGATGTTTATGTCATCAGGAAATCACCCATCATTTTGTTCCAGTGATCACCAACCCTAAAAATATTATGTGGAAGTAAGTCCCTGGCCCCAGCATTCCCACAGTGAAGGTGAAGGACACTGACATGGCCTATCTCCCTCCAGGCAGTCCCAGAGACTGAACCACTGAAATCCTTCATGCCATTCAAGACTTTAAGGTGAGAATGCTCATCCTTGTCCTGGTCATCATTGTGAAGACCTCCTTTCACTTATTCTTTTGTTGCAGCACAACCGATACCGTTCTCTTTTGCAGTGGCAGGCTTCCTTCCAGTGACATGAATTTCACCAGGAGAACATTGTTCATATGTAATGACTCAGCAGAAATGGTTATGGTTCGGGAGAGCACGGAGCAATACTAATTGGGGTGAAATTCCCTCCAGAGATAACATTTTTGTTGGTAATCTTTCATCAGAACTAGGAAAAGATACAAATGTAGATTTAACACATTGTGGAGCTGGAGGAACCCAGCAGGCCAGGCAGCTTCAGAAGAGCAGGAAAGTTGATATTTCGGGTCGGGACCCTTCTTAAGAAACCATTTCTGAAGAAGGGTCCTGACCCAAAACATCAACTTTCCTGCTCCTCTGATGCTGCCTGTCTTGCTGTGTTCCTCCAGCTCCACACAGTGTTATCTCTGACTCCAGCATCGGCAGTTCTTACTACCTCAAAGGTAGAAATGTAATTAAGTAAGCCTTTAAACAAGTGACAGGAGGGAGAGTGGACAAAGAACAGAATAAAAGGTCTGTTATAGAATGGAAGACAGGGGAATTTAAATTCCAGAAGATTTGGTGATGCAAGACCAAAGGGAGTGGTAATGGGACAAGTAAAGATTGTATCAGATACAGAAACAAAAACTGAAGTTGCTGGAAAACTCAGCAGGTCCTGCAGCATCTGTGGAGAGAAATCATAGTTAATGTTTTGGGTCCAGTGACCCTCCTTCAGAACAGATTTAGACAAGGTGTGAATAGCAGAATAATGAACAGCTGCTGTCCAAAAGCAAACAAGAGAAAAATGAAGTTACAACTAAAACTTGCAAAGTGAAATGAATCAAAATGAGGACAAGGAGTGTAATCTAAGTCTGTAACCAAAAGTTGAAGTGATGCTCCTTAACTTTATGTTGGGCTTGATTGGAATAGTTCATTACAGAGAGTCAGATTAAAAGCACAGTGGAGAGTTAAACTAATAGATGACTAAAAGTTCTTCATTGCCTGAAAAATTCTTTGAGACATCCATGGTTGTGAAAAGTGCTATGTAAATACAAGTGATTTTCCCCCTGTTATTGGTTTTCAGAGTACAACTATTCTTCATTTTGCCATTCACACCTCGTCTGGACACATTTTATTTCTTACTTGTCCAGGTTAGCCTGTTAGTTCTGCACCAACAACTCCCTTGATATTAAATGTGTCCTGACTTTTAGAATTTAGAATTTATTGTCATGTGTACTTTTACAAGGAAAATACAATGAAAAGTGTTATAAATCACCTTACCGTGGCACCTGTATTAATGACAGAACTTATAAGTAAATTCATAAGTAACAGTAAAAAATAAATTTAAGACAAAAGTTCATTTAACAGCTCCTGGTTTCGGAGGAAGCTGATCAAAAGACAAACCACACAGCCGGAATAAGACCATTAAAATGCCGGGACGAAACTGACACGCCGAGTCGCCGGACAAACTGGTCCAAAAGCCTCCTGTGAAGAAAACTGCTGCCAGGACAAGACTGCCACTCCAGACACAAAAAATGCCACGCCGGGCCGAAAGCATCTTCTGAAGAAAACGCCGCTGGGAACAGACCGCCAACCTGGACGAAGACACCACGCCAGGCCGTCGGAACACTGGGCCAGAAGCATTCACCGGAGAATAAGCCGGACTACCGACAAGACCTAAACACCGTGACAAAACCGTCACACCAGAAGACCGCTCCACAAGGACAAGACCATCACACCGGGAAAAAAAAACCGCCACTCCGGACCGCCGAAGCCACCCCGTCACTGGATAAGCTGTTAAACGAAGGTAAGATGAATTTTGGTGTTTTAATTTTAACTATACTAAATGGAAACAGAGAAAGAAAAAGAAAAAAAAAATGTAGAAGTGGAGGAGTAGATAAGCTACGGGCTTCTGGGCTTAGGGGCCCGCATGCTGCACTGCTACTCTGGCATCACCAACTTCCACTCGATCACCAACTTTCTCTTTTGTTCTGTTTTTATTTCAGATTTCTTACATCTGCAGTATTTTGCTTTTGCTACCCCTCTTACGATTTAAGCTGATAGGATAAAAATCTCTGCCTGCTGACTACAAAGATTTTGTATGAAATAAATATTGGAGCAAATTCAATTCAGTTTCTTATGAGTCCACAATTCAAATTGCCCATGAAGTGCAGTCTGAAGGCCAATCACAGGTGAAGACTTGTATTTATAAAGCACTTTTCACAACCGTGGATATCTCAAAGCATTTTTTCAGCCAATGAAGAACTTTCAGTCATCTGCCCATAAGGTAAAACGAATTGACAGTGTACTGATAATCTTTTTCGAAGTGAGCACAGATTATCTGGACTGGAAAATGGAAAACATCATCAGTTTATTTTTCCAAACTTGGACCTAGAGCAAATTGCAGAACCAGGTAGAGGCACCGACCAGGCTAACCCCAACTCAAGCAACTTGGGAGTATTGAAAATATTGATGGTGGGTAAATAATTTTGCTAAGCATGAAATTGTTGAAAAAAAATCCGAGTTCTTTAAATTTATTTCCTGCCCATCATTGAAGAATAACATGATTCCAATATATTACACTGTAATTTGTCTTTAGTACAAGGATAAAATAATGACCTTGTCACTTTTTGTTTTCAATGTTTTTGAGACCTCACTTTTTAAATAAAGTTAATCACTCATCTTGGAAATACAACTTGTTTCTCCGTGTGAACGATGAAGTTCTTCAGTCACTGAAATTGATAAATCCAAAAGTTGCTAATATTCATTAAATTGCATTTACAGGCAAATGGAAAGGATCACGTGATCTATGAAACTAATTAATGCAGTTCACGCAAATTGCTCTTTTTACTGATTAGATTGATATCAAACTCTTTAAAATAGAATTAAAACTGTGATGTTCATGGTTTAGTGGTATGTGATGAAGGTGCAATAAAGTCACTATGAATAATTAGCATTGCTGCCTGGTCTGCTGTGTTCCTCCAGCTCCACACTTTGTTACCTCTGACTCCAGCATCTGCAGTTCTTGCTATCTCATCACTATGAATAATCAGAGATAGTAGGAACTGCAGATGCTGGAGAATCCGAGACAACAAGGTGCAGGGCTGGATGAACACAGCAGGCCAAGCAAAGTTTCGTTTAGAAAAGGAATGCTTTAAAGGTCTGCAAGAACTTCTGCCATTAAACAAAGTTATTGTCATTAAATACATTCACCTCAAAGCCCTTTGCATGGTGCCTCACAGCGCCAGGGAGCCGGGTTCAATTTCCACCCTCGGGTGACTGTCCGTGTGGAGTTTGCGCGTTCTCCCCGTGTCTGCATGGGTTTTCTCCGGGTGCTCCGGTTTCCTCCCACACTCCAAAAATGTGCCAGCTAGAAATTGCCCGTAGTGTTCAGGGATGTGTAGATTAGGGGGACGGGTCTGGATGGGATGCTCTGTGGGTCGGTGTGGACTTGTTGGGCCGAAGGGCCTGTTTCCACACCGTAAGGATTCTATGATTCTTTCCCCTTTATGTTGATAAATTACACTCAACCATGTCATTTAGCCAAAGACAACCTTTTATTTTACTGCAAAACCGATAAGTTTGTTCAGCTTATGCAATTTAAAGGTTCGCTGTTTTATGGAAAAGCGTTGTTTATGTTGTTATTTGATTGACAAGAGAGAAAAAAGCCAGAAAAAGAAAGTGCCGCGTGATATTGAAATTTGGGCTTTCTTGTAATTCCCATGGACAGACTTGCACCTTCTATGATTTGGAATTTATAACTTTCAATATGCTGTACAATTAATTTTTTAACTGAAATATTTTATGCCAGACTGATGTCTGATCAGCTTTTTCTCCTGTCCTCAACAAAACAATAACTGTGCTCATTATTTTTGATGAAGTTAAATTACATATTTATGTACATGACATCAAAACTCACAAGAGCAAAGTGATTATGGCTGAATAGTTATGAATTTAACTTGCACACTAATTTCAATTGTTTCTGAAACTAAAATAATGAAGAAGCAAAACCTTGTACCTGAAAACAATTAACTTTCTTCCTGTAATAAAATTAAGTGCTTGAGGTAATGCACATACCATTGGTAGGAATGCATCAATCATCATTTTCAGAAAGGCTGAATTTAGGCCTCCATTGGTAGGGCTGAAACAGGTGTTGGTTCCTTTCCAAATCTAATTGGAGGGTCTTACACAGATTTGAAACTCTCTTCCAGAAATTTGGCTGTTTTGGACATTGCCAACAATTGTCTACTGTCTGTGTTGTAACAATATGCAATGATCCTTGAAGTGACCATCGAGAAGCGTTATCAAAAGTTAAACAAAAACTTTACAAACACTAGCATTGATAGTTGGGCTGATGGGTTGTTTCTGTGCGATGAAGACTGTGTAATACTTATTTGAATGTGGATCCATGAGAAAGAAGAGTGCTTGTCCTGAGTGTACATAAGTTTGGAAGACTGTTGTTTGTTTTTGTTCATCACATTTGCAATTCCTTACCCCTCCTTCTTGCTCTCCCCACTCCTAATGAAGGCAAGTACCTTGAAGAGGGCAGAAGAGTGGCGATGCTGATTGGCTGATATGGGGAAGATCTGCATCAGTGCAGTCACTGTTTCCAGAAGGTGGTTTGCGGAGGGGCTGTTGTCAAGGTGCAGGCAGATAGATGGGTGATTGTTAGAAGGGGCAGACAGACAGACAGACAGACAGTCAGTAAGTAAGTAAGTAAGTAAGTAAGTACATGAATCCCCTGTGGTTGTCCCCCTCTCTAACAAGTATACTGTTGGGGGGAAATGACCTGTCAAGGTGTAGCAGCGGCAGAAGCAGACTGGTGGCACCACAGCTGGTACTGTTCTTAAGAAGGGAAGGACAAAGAGCAGTAGTTATGGGGGACTATATAGTTAGGGGTACAGATAGGTGTTTCTGTGGATGTACAAGAGACTCCAGGATAGTGTGTTGCCTCCCTGGTGCCAGGATCTAGGATGTCTCTGAATGGGCAGAAAGCATTCTGAAGGGAGAGGGTACTAATGACATAGGTAGGATGAGTGATGAGGTCCTGCAGCAGCAGTTCAAGAGGTAGAATGTTAACAAGCAGGACCTCCAAGGTTGTAATCTCAGGATTACTCCCTGTGCCACGTGCCAGTGAGGCTAGAAATAGGATGATAGTACAGCTCAACACGTGGCTAAACAGATGGTGTAGGAGGGCGGGTTTCAGATGTCT